GCGGAAGCACGTCAGCGAGGCGACGGAGGCCACCACCGGCGAGACGTCGTGGTCACAGTGAGAGGGGTTTGTCCGATCGTCGCGGTCTTCCTTCTGCCCCTCCTCTTGCGGCTGCACTAGCATCCTGGCAACAGACGCTTCCCACACCACGACAGCGCAAACTTCTGCAAGGAGACTGGTTGTTGGTGCAGTCGTTCCATCAAGCATACAGGTTTCTCCAACGGACTTGCGGTGAAGTTAGTCCCCTTTCTGTGTATTTGCCGTGCATGTGGCCGTTGTTCCTCATCATGCTCGCCACCCCTGGCATGATGTCGGACTGGTCCCTGCGCGAGGGTGCATTGGGATGCCCTTGTGGCCCACTTGCTCTGGTGCTTTTGGTGGATTAGCTGGAGGGGCCCATGAGGAGGCAGCTCGCTCGACGTCGACTTACTCAAGAACTAAACCGGCTACGATTGCCTGGCCTGCGTCCCGTCACTTTGCGCGCGCCCGAAAAATGTTGCAGACAGCTGGTTGAAGCGGGCTTCCTCGCGGCAGTGCGGATGACAGAGCGGCCGGGGTGCGAACGCAATTGGTTGATCAAGCATGTTCGCATCATCCGTACCACGCTCCCCACTTCGTCATCACTTCGCAGCGCGTCCAAGCAGAGCACCCGTATTCGGCCAGGGGACGCTCATAGTTACGACGAAGATTTACTGTCGCTCTTGACTTGGGGAGTTGGGATGATGCATATCCCGAAGCGCTGGGGCGTCCATTCTCGTCCGTCCGCTGCCGAGCTTGCCCACGATGTTTGCCGACTCATCTACAGCAATGTGAATCGATGGTGCGGGCATGCTGCTGCGCGAGATCTCCGGCAAGCTGCTTGGACCCGCTCTTCCACGGCAGTCTCCCCCCCCCGTTGCTTGCCGAACAGCTTGAGCGGTCGAAACACACAAGTCCCGTACATGTTGCACACGATGTTGATGCAGAGTTGCATGGAGGCTTGTGGTAGGCAGGGCCAGTGGCGTCCACATTTCTCATCGTACCTCCGATTGCTGCGTAAGGCGTAAGCCCTGCAGTTGCGGATTTGAGTGAGGCGCCGAATGAGGAGTCGGGGAGGGGCCGCGTAAGAACAGCGCAATATGTTGAGCTTCCCCAGACTCTCAGTGAGGCCGCCTTCCGCCTTCCGGAGGGTTTCGGCTCAGAGGCAAAAGGGCGCGTTTGGCTCAAGGGTTTCGGCTCAGAGGCAAAAGGGCGCGTTTGGCTCAAGGACTTTCGGCGGTAAGGCCAGAAGGACAAGCAATGTCTGAGCTCGCGCCCGTCTTGTCGCCGAGACTGCAAGCATGTATGCCCACAGGGGTACCAGAAACGGGGGATCTAGAACGATATTTGGTGGCGAAGAACTTGTGTTCGATTCTCAGAGTGCATAGCTGGTTCGATTCACCCGACGACGCTGTCGCAGAGTTGGGCGGTGAAGCCCGTTGTAGCCCGTCAGTGGCCAGGGAATTCTATGCACGGGTAGATCGGAATGCTTCGGCGGCCGTCAGGGGGCATGCTCGTGCGGAGTTGGCTGGAGGAGAACGAGTCCTTTGCGACCCCCAGGAAGCACCGGCGGTGCCCACGACCAGCTCTGGAAAGTTACCGTCGGTGGCCTTCTATCCGGGGAGGAAGAGGCACAAATCCGAAGAAGTGGAGCAAAACTGCCAAGACCGGGAAGCTGCTGCGCTGTGCAGCCAGGTCGGTTTAGTGCTCGATCTCGCCGGCCACATCGGGGACGCATCGCCGAGACTCCGGGGATGGGCCCTCAAAGGCCTCAGCTGGGAGGATCAATCGGCTCTCTTGCGGCCTGTAGTGGTCAGGAGGGCTTCGGTGGCGGCGACGGTGCGATCCCACCTGCGAGTCCTTGCGCGGCTGCAGAAATGGGCAGAAGCGGCCAGGCTCCAGCCGTGGTCGTTAGATGCAACAGATGTCGCGCTATTTCTCCGCGACGCCAGCGGTAGAGGGCCGTCAGTGCCGAAGGCGTCCTTTGCGTCGCTGGTGTGGGCGAAGGAAGTATTCCAGTTCCCGTGGCCGTTGGAGGACCCGCTGGTCGAGGCCCAGAGATGCATGTCAAGCAAGCAGACAGAGGAGCAGCGGCAGCAGGCGAGCCCGCTAACAAGGGCAATCGTTGATTGCCTTCTGACCAGCTTCTTCGTGGCAGCTGAAGCGCACGACGCAGCAATTGTAATTGCTATTGGATTTGTGCTGGCCCTGACGTTTGGCTGCCTTCGTTGGGCTGACCTACAGAGATCCACGTCTTGCAATCTGTCGCGGGACGCACTGTACGCAGAATCGTGGAGGTCAAAGAAGAAAATCGGCCGAATCCCGTGGGTCGCCACGCGGAGGGATTGGCAGGGGCGCGATTGGGGTGGACAGTTCCACGCCGCCGTGGCCGGCTACGTGGATCTTGCTGAAGCGGACTTTATCGTCTCAGCGATGGCGGTGGAGTCTGGCAAGATCGTCGTTCTGAGCCCAGTCCGCCCAG